CCTCGGTGTGTTTGACATTATGTGGTGATGCGCAGATGGAAGTCTCTGCAGTGTCACCTGGACCCCTACCACCCGCCCGGGATATGACCCATGTTCATACTTTTTAGAAATATGACTGCATATGATTTACTTATGCATTTTTGGTACATGAAATCTTACACCTAATTCTCAATTTATTGCATCTCAAATTGTTATGTGTGCACTGGAATGGAAAAGCTTCACTTTAATATAGTCACAGTACACTATCTGATTCACTTCAACATTGAGTAGGCAAACGTTTTATGCAAGTGATTCACCTTGAATAAAAACAAGTGGAGCTCGGTGCTAAAATACTTTTGAGAACATTTTTTTTTTTGTGTCTCTTCTTTGAGAAACTTTTTCACCACTGTTTATTGTTCTTCATCTGAGTGCTGTCGGAGCTGTTTTATGTGCATCAGCATTTGAATTTTGACTCAAAGGGAGCAACTCTGTCTAAACCAGAAACTCTGTGCTGGAAGCTCTGCAGAAGAAGACAAGCGACCCAGAAACAGACCTGCGTGAGTGTTTTTGTGTGTGAGTGTTGTGGAGGGGAGTGGGTAACAAAGGGTTGATATAGATGTGATAGATGTGAAGAGCCACTTTCCACCATGTTATTTGTATTCATACAGAATGAAGAGTTGGCGATCATTTGTAATAACAGGGGGTAGTCACAGAAATCACAGAATAGGTCTTCTTATTTGTCTAAAACTAATCTTTATCAACTAATAAGTCAAAATATGCACGAGTACAAATAATTGACTTAGTATGCAGGCAAAAAAGTCAAGTATTAAATCTTTGGTATAGACAAAATAACTACTAACTTATTAATGCATAAATCATATGCAAAATATTTTGGGGACGATGAAGAGGATATATAAATGAATAGTATAGTAACAGGTTTCACACTTACATCTATAAGGTGCATGCATATGTGTGTGTGTGTGGGGGGGAAGGGGTGGGGGGGGCGGGGGTTATAGTGTGACAGGTCTCAGAAGGAGCCTTGGGACAATCAGACCATCTCTCTGAGGATTTTGCAGCAGATGGTTGTCTGCCTGGTTGGCCTGTGCGCTGATTCTTCTTGCCCTTGTGTCTGACCTGGTGTCATCCTTTACAGTATGGAGGGCAGCTGAAGGCCAGTGATTTTTCATCTTGGAGCGTGTCCTTGGAGCAACACCACAGCAGCCTTATACTGAGACCGGTCTGTAAAAATGCTTTCTCATAATACAGCGCTGTATTTTTTAAATCAGGATCAGTTTTAAGGCGTTGATAAACTACTTTAGACTCCAGCTTTAATTCAGAAAACCCTATTCTTTCTTCAAGACTTAGTGTTATAATCTGTCTCCATTCATACTTTACAGCTCCAGATTTTACACCTTTGGTGCATCACAGATTGCCGGCTTTGTTTTGAGGATGTTGGATTTTGGGATTCTGTAGGGGGGTTGTTTTAATTGGGCAACCTGAACATATAACATTAAAAGATTCTTGAATAAAGGTATTCCCTAATGTTGTTAAACAGAAACCTTTCATGGGAGGCAGACAATAACACTGACTGATGAGCTCACACAGACACACTGACAAAAATATTTTTTTGCCACGGAGGGGTGAAATATTAACGCATTTGGAACAAATCCCATCATGTTTTCGCCTCTGCAATTTCTTTTGAATGTGACGCAGAGTGAAAGAGGCAGGAGCTCCGATGCTGCTCTCTCAGGGGACGCCTGTAGACAAATGCTAGCGATATCAAAAACTTGAGTGAGTGAGGGAGGTGACAGTGTCAGCTGCTGAACTGTGTGGGGGAGTGCAAACTGCAGGCAGAAAACAGAGTGTTTGAGACCGACTGGCCTCTATTGGATTTTGGCTATGGTTTGTCTTCTGTAAGGTTTCTCTACTGACACCTAATGGCTGTACTGATATGAAATATTCATACAAGAATCTCGTAATAATCAGAGAATGGACATGACACATAAATCTTCTCCTCACAACACCACAGGCTCCTGGAATAAATCCACTTTTACAGGGTCTTGGCCTCTTCCAGATTCTTTTTTTCACATTCTCACTATAAATAATAAGAATCCTCTTTTCACTTTTTGTCTCACACCTTCTTCTCCTTTTAAGAACTTATATATTTATGGGAAAAAAAGAATTGAGTTTCACCATTTACTAAGCATTTGAACGAATTGTACAATCAGTACCATATCAAGATGTATTGGTTTGTCTCCTGCCAGTTTTCAGTGGATAATTTCGGTGAATTTAGATACTTAAAGGAGAAATAATCTTGGACTTGGTTATCATTCATGTTGAAAACCTGTCTTTGGTACTTTGGTATTCACATGGTGATACTCTGTTTGTCAACTCTGTTTAATAAACTGAAGAAGAGTATTGATTTATCTCATTGAAGACATTTATTGATAATTATGATGAAACATTCAAAACACTCTCTCAAACAGCATTTCTGATTTGTATTTCTATCTATGTTGCATACACTGTATATATTATGAATCCTATGGGTCTGAGTTAGAAGAGGAAATGTGTTTAAGCCCTCTACAGTGCCAAAAAATCAGTCCATGATTTCTGTCTTTTCAAGTGAAGGTTAATTATTCAGGAATTCCCGGTCCTCACAAAAAGCCAAGAACAGCAGGAGAGCTCATCGTGCTGCAGCTCCTGCTTTATTCCCTCAGAGAGTATCAGAAGTTTAAAAACACTGTATGACTATAATTGAAATGCACACGTTGTCTGAAGTTTGGCTCCTTTAAGCAAGGCAGACAGAAAAAAATAGGACAAACATAACCTCTGATAGCTTCTCATGTGTTAAGCAGAGCAATCACGGTTGTGATTCTAATCAGCTACCAGACTAATCTGCTCCTTGTTATTTTGATTATGCATGTGTGTGTGTGTGTGTGTGTGTGTGTCTGTGTGTGTGTGTGAATTATGTTTTTAGATTAGTTGGTTCATCTGATTAAATATTAAAGAAACATGCATTAACACAATGATCAGTGTTTGGCATTTAAGCAACAACGCAGCACGGATAAGGCTTTTCATGCATGTTTGTAAATCAATTAAAAGCATTAAGATCAATAAGGGGATCACTTTTTTTGGTAGACTAGCAAAACAAAAGTTAATGATCAACAAGGTAAAATAGACAAACATCAAAGGTAAGTTGAGGTAGGTCAAATGTGACTTGATGGAAATCACAATCTATCTATATCACAAAATATCTGTATTTTGGCAGGCCAGTAAAGGCCGCCTTCTGCATTCATTACGATTTCCACCAACCCATCTTTTCTTCTCCTTGATAGAAAATACAGATACAAGGATATCGTTAAATACGAAAAGAAAATTAAATGTATTCCTAGACAAATTGCTCCTTAACTACTTATAACATAATTCATTAAAATCGCAACAAGTCCTGCATGGTAGGGCTGGGGGCGACATGGACCAAAACTCATATCTCGATATTGTTTAGCTGAATGGCGATACTCGATATGTATCGATATGTATTTTATTAACAGTGAAAACACATGGAGAAATAAACTACCTGTTTGTGAATTTAAAAAGTAATTTATAAAATAAAAATGTTCCTTAAATACAATAAAAAGAGAGAGAGAGGAGGAGCAGGGTTAAGAGGGACAGACAGTCAGTCATCATCAGTGAGGTGAGAAAAAGGTGACTTGGCACCTCTTTAACGTTATTTTAATGCAACATAAACTATATCGATATTAACGATATTGTTTTACCCTATATCTTGTTTGAAAATATATCGATATATATTAAAAACTCGATATATTTCCCAGCCCTACTGCATGCCACTTTTTTAATTCAAAGATGAACCCACAGCTACATCTCTGGTTATTCAACAGCATTATACTCTGCACATCATCATGCCTTTGACAAGAAAATGAATTATAGCAATGAACTAGCCTCAAACAGCTCATTTTAAACAACAAACAAATAAAAAACGGCGGGGCTACGGCTACCATTAAAAAAATCAAGAAAGACACCCTAGTTGGGCGGCAGTAGCTCTCCTGGTACGGACCAAATATGGAAGTTGGTCTGGTAGCTGGAGAGGTGCCAGATCACCCCCTGAGCACTGCTGAGGTGCCCTTGAGCAAGCCACCAAACCCCCCCCCCACCATCAGCTCAGGAGCACCTGCTGTAGGCCGCTCTGTCACGCTTCACTCCATTAGTGCATGTCCATAGGATCCTGTTTCTGCATGTGTGTGTTCATGACTTACAGAGTGTAAAAACTGAAATTCAATAAAAGTTAATCTCAGTTCCTGAAATGCAACTGCTATGGAACTGTGCAAGTATGGTTGCTACTGGCAACAGAATGTACAATTGAAACCAGAGTCAAATGGCTCTCAAGTTTAGATTAAAGTGATCATCCAACTTTCTTGTCTTTTCATTTCACAGGTGATCTTTCCCTGTGCGGAGAACCCACAAGAGGTGCAAGAAATCTGATTCCCCCAAAATCCTTCAAAAATAGTGTGCTATTTGCCTGGTCAGACAGGACTTGTGTAAAACAACAACAAAACAACTTTTTTGGCTGTTTTCTTTGCATTCAATGTGGCACCTTTCCTTTTGTTATATGATCAAATAATGTTATAAACTACCAATTCAAGGTAGTGTGGAATTATACGATTTTGAAAATGAATAAAATTTGCAGGATGAACTACATGAATTTAACATTAAAAACATTTCATATTATGATTTTATTTGTATTATACAGGACACTGAATAAATAGGCTGTTTTTTTTTTTTGTTCAATTGGCATCTTTTGGAAGAATTCAGTCTTGCCTTCAGTAAACTCTTTTGGTTTAGCCTACTCATAAAATAATTAAAAAAAAAATAATAATAATAATAATAATATTGAGAGACCCTGATAACTGTGTAGATTCATTATTAATTTATTACATTGGTATCTTAATATTAAACTCCGCCCACTCAGCACTATCCCAATGTTGCATCAGAAATGCAACATCCGGGAAACGTCATCAGCCCTCACCCGGCATCCTGACTGCCTGCTGTCTATACATGTTAGCCGGACTGTGTTATCTTTTTCTTTTAAAAGAGAGGTAGCCTTTCACTTGTTATGGCTGACCAGACTGTCGTGGAGAAGATGAGCGAAATGCAAGTGAACGAGGGGAAGAAGGTGATACTTGGACCTCATGACTTCCTATTGAAGACACGTTAGCATTTGTTAGCAGGTAGCCTAGCCTGTAGTCAGATTCATGCTGCCATTCAATGCGGTGCTAAAGTTGACGAGTAGCCTTATGTCAGCGTTTAGTTTTATACTTCTGTCAATGATACAATATGATTTGTTTCATTTTTCTTTCTTTCAAGGTAGTCATTTATGCCTTAGTTCAATTAAACAAGCTTATTTGCCTTATTTTGCTAATGTTGGACTAAGACAGGACTACGGAAAGAGCTTGATGCCAAACTTCATCCACAACTTTGACAATTAAAGTTTCGACCGATTAAAAGTTGTCCAGCAGAATTGTAGACGATTTTGAGGGATCTTAAATGAATACCTTATTTTCTCTTGACATATCAGTGTTGTTCAGATTGACAAATGGTTTTTGTTTCATATAAGATCCTCTCTGAAGTTCACTTATAACTCACTGGATCTCATGAAAACTGGCACTTTTGTGTTTGTGAAAGGTCTTCAGTCATCTTACTTCTATTGTGTGCCAAAGACATGATCACTACCAAAACATAAAGATGTTTTAAATATCAGTGTGTTTGAACTTTGTATGTATCATTGAGCGTAATGTCCTGTGTATATTATTGTTGTTAAATAAAATACTTTGTAGTGTCAGCTGTGAACTCCAATTTGTGTAGAAAGTAATAGGTTAGTTTCTTGTCGACTTCTCTCAGAACTTGTTAGCTCCACACTAATCTTGGTTTTGTTAAAATCGACTTCCTGTTAGGCAAAGGTCATTAACCTATTGCATGGATTTTCAAAACAGGTGAAATCCGAAAGCAATAAAGACGGAGGAAAGAAGAAGGCTAAAAATGCAGCTGTGGACTCTGGAGGCAGGGCTGAGGTGAGTTGAACTGTCTGAAAGTGTGTAGGTGTCTATATAGACAACAATATAGACAACATCACAACAATGTCGTGTTTGACAAGGACTTGAATCATGGTGTACCTTCAAAATATTTGTTGGTCTAATTGCATGTCACATATTTGAAAGCAGCCCTCTCATCAGCATAGTGGTTGTTGTGGTTCATAAAAAGATTATATTTGATTCAAACATTTGACCTCCTGAAATAGCATCAGTGTCCAAGTGCAATGAATGAATTCTATAAAATAGAATGGATGCATCTAATCACAAAGCAGAAAGTGTATCTGCAATATTAAATCATATTTGTTGAGAGAATTGTTGACGCACAAAAAAGTCATTTGGAACAATCCTCTTAAAATATTGACTTTATGGTCCTTTTTTTTTTTTTCAAGGTATCACACTTCTATAAACAAACCCTTCATTTACTCATTTCATTTGTTGCTTTTCAGCTATCGCCCCAACCTCAGTACATTGATGAGCGTCTGACGTTGTACACAAAGCTCAAAGCTGAGCATGAAGCCCTGATGGCAGAGAGGGCTGCGAAGAACAGCCGAGCCATCAAGGTGACCCTGCCTGATGGAAAGGTAGTGGATGCAGAGTCTTGGAAGACCACACCATACCAAGTGGCCTGTGGTATCAGGTAAGAGTGGTGGTTGAGTGGCTGCAATTGAGACTTATTTAAAGGGACAAGTAGCTTTTCATTTTTGTGTAGAAAAATGAAAAAGCCTTAAGGTGGCTTCGGGAATTTAATTTCCAAAGACTAGCTGTCAAATTTATTCTGACAGCCAGTAATTACTGTTCGAGTTTCAAAAGGCTGCACAACTCCATCATTATGAGAACAATAACTGAAAATGACTCCTGCTTACCTTAGAAAATATGACCCCCAAAAACTCATTAGTTGAAAAAAATAGAGAAGTTTGAGAATGATCTCCATACTCGCACACTTTGCGGTTACAGTATGTCAGCAGAGATCATAAATTCACAACAAAGTGTCACATAAACAGACTGAAAACGAAACACAGTAAGACATTTTAAGACATGTTTTAAACCACAATGCACCAACCACAGCCGCACCTTAGTACATTCTTTTGATGCAATTAGCACATATATGTCTATTACTGGTGGTTTAACCTTTTGTGGCACACAAGCAATTTTATTTTTGGTGACCAAGACAGTCAAAGAATTACAGCATTCCTCTGTACCCTCCTAAGGTGCAGGATGTTACACAGTAGATAAACATACACCTTGTAAGACCAGCTGATCTACATCTGTTATATGACTGACAAGCTAACCCAGATTGCATACAGGGCTTGGGAGTATATCATTTAAAATACTTTTTAACCCCACTTACAAACAAGTTTATATTCTAAATACAAAAAAAACTTACAACAAAGCAAGACCAAGTGGTTTCAATAATTTACTTGAAGGTGTACCACAGGATTTTATATTTTACCTCTTGGTGCCAAGGCTATATTTCTGCACATAAATTTGATATGGACTGTTTTTCCATGTCATTTCTAGTCAAGGCCTTGCTGACAACACAGTGATTGCTAAAGTGAACAACGCTGTGTGGGACCTAGACAGACCTTTGGAGGATGACTGCAGCCTGCAGTTGCTCAAGTTTGATGATGAGGAGGCTCAAGCAGTAAGTTCACCTCATCCCTCGTCTGCTTATGTTACATCACATATGGATAATGAGAAAAGACTGCAGTGTAGTTTAGTAAAGCTTGAACACGTCCTTCCTTATGCTGAGCTTTCTGATTTTTGAGCATCATATACTAAACTCATCTGCCAGTGTATTTAAGTAAATATGAAAAAGCCCATTCAAGGAATTCTGTTGTGCTAGCAATGTCACTGATTTTCTCTGGTGGTATTTACCTAAACTCTGATATATTTAATATATTCATACACAGAGCAACAATGTGAACAGCTCTTCAGGATTTTCAACACTGAACTACAGTGGAGTATTCAAATGTATGGATACATGTTGCTTACTGGTAACAGCTTACAGGAGTGGGCACAGATTGTTTAATCCTATAGACATGACGCAAGGGCCGGTTAAAGCCAGTGTTCAAGGTTAAAGTGATGAATGAAAGGTTAACAATCAATACTAAACCTCAGAACTCTATTCATCAAATGTCCAATCCACAAAGACATAAAGAGGCGACGTGACGGTGTAAAATAAAATACTGCTGCTATCACGTCCTCTCATAAAAGTGGCAGCAACCGGTGTCGTGAGTGAATAACGAGACTTGCTCTGAAAATAAAAGCCCCAATTTCATCTTCATTGTCTTGCACAAGGTGCTGAATATTTCACCGGAAGAAGAGCCATTTTTCATGACACGTTTTTAAGTACTTCAGAGAGGTTTCTCTGTCTCAGCCGATTTGCTCTTTAGGCTAGCAGTTGTCAGCAGGTTTTGTAGAACATTTCACATCTTGAAGAAAGGAATGTTTCATCAGCACAAACATGAAGTTCAACACTCTTTCCAGTGCAGTCATACGTCTTCTCATTTTTTTTTTAGGTTTACTGGCACTCCAGCGCCCATATCCTGGGTGAAGCCATGGAGAAAGTGTATGGAGGCTGCCTCTGCTACGGCCCCCCCATCGAGAATGGCTTCTACTATGACATGTTCCTGGAGAACAACGAGTGAGTCGCACAGGCTTCGGGTTCACATTTGATTTTTTTATAATTAGTCGTGTTAGTCATCTCTCAGTGTTATTTTGATGTTTGCTTCAAAGCTTAGCGGCTGCCAGTCTGGTTCATTGTCTTAGACAGATCGCAAACACAAAGCAGGTGGAGTGTGATTACACTAATGCTGTCAAACTGGATTTTGCTCGGGTGTGGATTTAAAGTGACATGTTCATATATCAGCCCACAGAATTTGAAGCCTTATAGCAAATCATAAAATAAAATAAAAAACACTGATGTGGAGATAAGTTTAGTGGGGCAGAGAGGAAGTGCTTTGAGACACCCTCAGAAATTTGAATACCTCTTCATTGTCAACAACTTTTTCATTTGACCTTTCCCTGAAACAGATGCATTTCGCCCGGCTTCTGGCAGCGGGAGAGCATGAGGAGTGTTGTCTAATTAATTCTACAACCCCCTTAATGAAGTCATTTTATGCTAATGGCATTCTTGGAGACAGTTTTTTTTTTTTCTTTGCGAGGATATTTTTTGACATTGCTCACACCCAAAAGCCAAGGACTTTCAACTATTTGCTCATGTTTGGCAGAGGTTGCAGTTTGTGGTATTCGGAGAACTACACTCGCAAACAAAAAGTCTGTTTGCATGGCTTCATGCCTGGTCACATCCACGATGCCCTCTAAAACACACACAGACTGAAGCATGTAAAGCAGTTTGAGTATCAATGTAGGACTTCATAAGACCTTTATTTCACTTTCATCTTTTAATGTTTTTTTTTTTTTTTTTACAGGGGCGTATCGAGCAACGACTTCCCATGTCTGGAGACCTTGTGCAAGAAAATCATCAAGGAGAAGCAGCCATTCGAGAGGCTGGAGATAAAGAAGGAAACTCTGTTGGAAATGTTCAAGGTACGTGAAAACACAAATGTTTTCAAATAAAGAGGACTGATTCAGAGGAAACAAAACTCTTAAAAAAAACTCTTCTTCTCCTTGACAGTACAACACGTTCAAGTGTCGTATCCTCAATGAGAAAGTCACCACTCCCACTACCACTGTTTACAGGTGAGTACATTACGCACTGTAATGTTTGGAGAATTAACATGTCCTATTCAAAGTCCAACACAAAGAATGGATCATTTTTCTGACTGAGGGGATTTCTGTGTTGCCTAAACCTGATATCTTAACTTGTTCCTCTGAAGAAATAAATGTTCTTCGTCGTTATGAACCACACCTTCTCAATTGTCCTCCCATAAACTCTCAGATACCAAAATTGCAAAAGAAAAACAAACACCACCTACGCATCCTCTACTCACTTGTTTTGGACAACATTCTGCAAAAACTACAGTTCTGTGCTTTTTCAAAAGAAAATTATAAATTTTCTTTAATAATTAACTTTAGTGTCAGCTGTAGAAAACGTTAGGCTCGGGTCTAATCTTGGTTGTTCTTCTTGAATAGATCTGATAGTCATGACAAACATAAAGCCTGTTTGTAAACACAACCCGACTGGTTATCCTTCTCAGCTTTTAAAAGAAATTGAACATTCAAATACATTCTGCATTTCAGATGTGGACCCTTAATCGACCTGTGTCGGGGACCCCATGTGAGACATACTGGTAAAATCAAGGCACTTAAAATCCACAAGGTGAGCCTGTTTGTATTCAGTGGTTTATTATGTACCAGACACCAGTTGATGATGTATACATGGATTTATTGTTGATTAAACCAGATTTATTTAAAGGATTGTAGACTTTTCCCTGAATGTGTGTCACTAACATTTGTACCATTTTTAGAGGACAGTTACTTTGTGGTTTATACTCAAGGAGTTTGAAGCAGTGGGAAGCTAACATACTTCTTTTCTGGTGTTCCAGAATTCGTCCACATACTGGGAGGGAAAAGCAGACATGGAAACCCTTCAGAGGATCTATGGAATCTCCTTCCCTGACCCTAAAATGCTCAAAGAGTGGGAGAAGTTTCAGGAGGAGGCCAAGAACAGAGACCACCGCAAACTGGGCCGGGTAAGAAGTGAAGCTGCTGATTGGCTCAGGGTTCCCAGTCTCAGTCTTTTTTAAATGGTTTTCTACTGTTTTTATTCTTAGAAAAAAAAAAGGATGCCAATGGTTCTTTGGTATTTGTCTATATATTTCACACATCTATGATATTACTGTATAGTATTCCAACAAATATGTTATGAAGTACAGGTAGAATACTTGTTAAAGGTAGGAACCAGGTTTGCAATTGATGTGGATCTGATTTCCCTAAATCAAACCTACTTAATAGACAAACGCTTACTAAAAAGTGTAAAAAATACTTTACTTAAGGGGAACAGTCGTTTAAAAAAATGTCACTGAGTGTTTCAAGAAAATGAATCTGTGTTTAAATCCTGAAAGACAACTGAGAATGGCATGGTAAAAGAAACATAAACAGCATCTTTGTTTTAAATGTATTTATTTTTACCTCTTGGGGACAAAATTCCCCTGTGAGATTAAGCAGCATTCATTAAGATCTATAAGAATATATTTTGAGCTTTAAGACAATGACTGCAGTCTAATAATGTGTTACTGTACTGTTGAAAATGAGTTGTTGTGTCAGACAGGGTGTGTGTGTGTTCAGTCTTTGATTAATTTAGTACAGTAACATGTGTGGGAAAACAGCTCAACAGGACACAGTACATATGCTTATTATAGGAACATGTGATTGATTGAAACCAGTTTGGCCTGAGTGTAAATTTCTATCACAATAACAAACCTTTCTTTTTCTTTGTGTTGCTTCAGGAGCAGGACCTTTTCTTCTTCCATGACTTGAGTCCTGGCAGCTGCTTCTTCCTGCCTAAGGGCGCTTTCCTCTACAACACCCTGGTGGAGTTCATCAGAGTAAGTGAAAGGTGTCAGAAGTGGAGTGAGTGATGCTGTGACCTCACTGTAAATCTGACACAGAAGAAAGACAGAGGGTATGAGTCAGAGAGTCTAAATAAGAGTGGAGACAGGTGGAGAAGTAATTGGCCTTTGCTAAGGTTGATGCTAATTTAACTAAATGTATAGATGTAAATAATATAACTTTAATTTTTCTTCAACACGAAGAAGTAAGAAAGGTGCTGATTTATGTTGATGATTGGATTCTTGAATGTGATAATTAAAGGCTAACGAATCAGGTCTTACACATGACGGGGCTTTCTTTATTAAACAATAAATACCAAACTCATATTCATTCCTTCTCCACCCAAAACATTAATGCTGTAAATAAATCCAACGAATGTCCTCTCAATAAAAATAACTCTTTATTCTGGCCAGGATGGAAAAGAATGTGCCCTTCCATTGAACACAAACCTGTTCATGAATTTAAAAATAGCTTTTTTCTTTGGTTGCCAATTATTTGGAATAAATTAAAATGTAACAAACAGACATGATTGACAGCATTGAAGAATGCTCTCCTGCCCTGTCACATTGTGGAGCACATAGGAAGCAAATGTTATTTTAAAAAAAGGATGAAATTGATTTTTGAATGAGGATGTTTTGAGTCATTTTGTGTTCTTATAAAATAGGTCTGCCTGTACAAGAAACACAATACTTGTAATTGTTTTATTACAATTAGATTTTCCTTTTGAACTTTAAAACAGACATAACCGGCCCGCCCATGGTGCAGAATGAGGCAATGCATGTTTTTATTTTCCTGTCAGGTGATTTATAAGCACCATCCCACATGAATCATTCTGACACATTACCTGAGAGCCAATCAAATGTTGCAGCATGTCACTTGGTCAACTTCACAACAGCACCATTAACATGGCAACCCCAAAATAACAACATACTCTAAGAGATCAAATACAACCAACACAGCGCCCACAACACAAGGTGCAATACACCAATTGACAACCTTTATATTCCTAATGCTCAATGTTTCATTCAAGAGCACCAAAACATCTTCATTTGTGAATTATTTTTTAAATATTTTTGTACTTTTGTCTTTTTACTGTCTTGTTCTGCCTTGCCACAAAACCAATGGCCCTTTGGGGACAAATAAAGTTGTAGTTGAATACAAACACAACAAGTAATCCACTTCAGCTTAGTTCATTGCTTCCAAACTGTTTACATATGATCCAGTTCATAAACCAATACATCACATAACAGAGTCTCAGTTTTAAGTAAAACATCAAAAAATTACAGCCTTTCTCTTCCAAGCATCCCATCACAATGTGACTACAAACTAGTATTTTAATCTGCAGCAGGATTAACATTCTGAGAGATGATTTCCCTTTTTTCAAATCCATAACTTTGCTTGCAGTGTTATGCATGTTTTTAAATGATTTGCATTATTTATCCGAGTGCCAGTGGTTTTGTAGTTGTGATGTTTACAAAGCATTATGAGGCCTTTTGCCCTGAACAGTTTTGTAATCATCTAAATTGTGGACACCTTGTTCTTTGGCAGAGCGAGTACAGGAAGAGGGGTTTCCAGGAGGTGGTGACGCCAAACATCTTCAACAGTAAGCTTTGGCAGACCTCGGGCCACTGGCAGCATTACAGCGAGAACATGTTCTCCTTCGAGGTGGAGAAGGAGACCTTCGCCCTCAAACCCATGAACTGCCCGGGACACTGGTGAGGCTTCTTTTCTTTAATCCAGTAAAGCAATCTATTTTCAGCAAACAACTGGAAATGCAAAGTCTAGTGTGAAATCATTCATTTTAGTTTCATTAATTAGAGAAACAACAGTGTTTGTTTAGAGTCAGAACTATTTAATCTAAACTCTTCATCTAACATAAAAAAAACCCGCAGTTTGTCTGAGTCCACCATTAAGTCACGTTTTAACACTATCACTGTTGTTTTGTTTTCACATGGGTTCTGTTAACAGCAGTTGACTCACTCTTTGTGAAATAGCTTTATCGGCCAGTCCCCCAGTTCTACTCTTCTTGTAACAGGCTGATACTCATGCCATGTTTTCTGTAGTTGAATGACCCACTTCAGTTTACTGCTGAATGCTGCATTGCAGTGCAAAGAACCAGACTGCAGCTCTTTGTCGTCAAATCTTTTATCTGCTTTTATCTGCTGCGATCTATGTGCTCTCCTCAAGGGCAACCCCTCTGGAGATGGCACTGAAATGGAAAATAAGCTTGCAAACACATTTTGTCACAGTGCTGGATGTCGGTTAAATCAAATATTGATTGTCTTTCATTGTAGGATTGAAGCAGTAGAACATGTTTCTTTAGGTATTGTGAGAAGTCAAGTTAGAAAATTGTATTTGTGTTGTGTATTTTTTCACACACTTTGCTTCTCCACCTGTTCGTCTTCAGCCTGATGTTCGACCACCGACCACGCTCCTGGAGAGAGTTGCCACTTCGCATGGCTGACTTTGGTGTCCTGCACAGGAACGAGCTGTCAGGAGCCCTCACAGGTCTCACACGTGTCCGCCGCTTCCAGCAGGATGATGCTCACATCTTCTGCACCATGGACCAGGTGAGTCCACACTGATGCATGGACATTGCTCCGCCAAGTTTACAGAAACAACATTTGAAGGCATCAAAGTCTGATGAGCTGACCAACTGTACACATTAAAGTATATATATTATGGTATGAGTGGGTATGTAGAGGAGGCAGCCCTAGTGTGATAAATTGTCTCGAGTGATGTCACTTGAGGCAGCATCAGTTGGGGCTGAAAAAGAGCTTCTTTTTACGTGGAAAATAATGTGGCAGTTTGCAGTTAGAAAGAGGTGAGCTTACTTAACAGAGCTCTGTAGCCAAATCTGCAGGAGGCTAGCAGTTCAGGGCTTCAGTAGGCACCCGCATCTGAGCATGAACTGTTCTCAACTGTGTCATGAAGAAATATAAGCCTCAGGTTTGGACACGGAAGAAAATTCCATGTGAAAAAAAAGATATAACTCTGTTTCTGCTGCGTTGATTTAGATAATTCAACAAATCTGTCAACCACGAGGCTGTAATTGTTAACAGCGTGATGTTAAATTAGTGCAGAAGTTGAAAAGGTCCCCTTCATTCATCCCACCATCGTTTTTCTCCTGGAACAACTGTGAGGAATGTTTCCACTTTGCCATTGTGTTTGTTTGATGTACTAAAGATACTGAAAAAGTGGGCTCCTTCCACTATCTGTCTTGCATCGTTGACAGGATAAATTCAGGTAATGTTATGTCTCATTCTCAGCCTGATGAAGTTTGAGGACTCATCAGGCTCTCTGCAGCTTGCTGAAACAACTTGCATGTTAAATCCTTTAAGCAGAGAGGGTTGTGCCAATATCAATGCACACCAACAGGATTTTGGACGACTGAATAGATTCCTTAATTACTTTGTTCAGATGTAGAAGCACTGCAACCTGCAGCCAGGATCCCCCCCTGATTGTGTTTTCTGTTTATCAGTAATGGCAGTGGATTGGATGGTTAATTATTTGATTGCACTTTGTGTACAAATTATCTCACGTCTGATTTTTCCCTTTGCCTGCAGCAGCTGAACTGTTCATGTTTTGTTTGTGTGATTTACCAAATTAAAGCAAACTTAAAGCCCCGCAGAGGAAATATTCTTATCTCATATCAGGGATGTTCCAAGCAACTAATTTCTAGGTACAATGAAAATATTAAGAGAGAGTCAGTGGCAATTATTCCAACCAAACTCATACATCATTAGTTTAACTGACTAGTAATTCTAGAGCAATCTAGTGAGGATGACGACGTTTCATCTTTCACTCGGTTAACTGCACATATTCACAGTCTCATACTTGCCATTATGTTGAACTGATGGCAGCTCATATTTAGGATATGGTGGGACTTCTTCCACTAACAAAGAGGCAATTCTTTTCAACTTTTCCCCTCTCAGTGTTTTGCATCCTGTTCTGTTCTATCACACATTTTTCATATTAAGCTCACTTGATTGCCCTGCTAGGACTTCAAAATTATAAAGACCCACGGTTGCAATGAATTTCACAGCTATAGCTGGTGGAAGTATTCAATCATGATATATAATCTCCATTAAACTGAGCGCTTCTTCTAATTTCCTCTGATTACATCATCATTTCATTCTCTGTTAATGGGCCAATACAAAGATGAAATCAGTCATACAGCAGCAATTACACTTGCCTGTCTGCCGCTGTGCCCCTGAAGGATGATGAAATTTCAATTACAATTTGTTCTGACCCCCAGATTGAAGAGGAGATTAAGGGCTGTCTGGACTTCCTGCGGACTGTGTATGACGTCTTTGGCTTCACTTTCAAACTCAACCTCTCCACAAGACCGGAGAAGTTCCTGGGGAACCCGGAGATCTGGGACCAGGCAGAAAAGGTAATCACGACGAGTGTCTTTGTTTCTGTCCTGTGGTTGAACGGCAATCTCGCACAGTCTCACCGGAGAATCAAAGGCTGATTGGAGAAATTATCAGACGGAAATTCTTGAGCTGCTTCACAGACAGTAAAGGAGGAGTGTGATTTTTGTAGACACAGAAAACATTTATATTTTAATGAATTAATTTTTCATCCCGCAGAACTGCTGTCAGCTCAGAAAATGTTTGCTTGTCTCTAGAGAATCTGCATCAGTGCCATCACTGTCTGCCTTTGCTGTCAAATCAAATTCGCTCTGTGGAAACAGCTCTCTATTTTATATCTCAGGTTCAGCTTCAGGATGGGTCTGGGAGAGAGCAGGTTATGTTTTAGCACAGCTCAAACAGTAATTACAAGAGTGAGGGAGTAAATCTAAATGACAATATGTCCTCACTGCTCGGTGAAACACGGTGAGGTCCCTTCTTAAGACAATCTCAAGTCTGAGAGATGAATCTTTGAAATCAACACTGAACGACACTTGTTGAATAACAATGTCACATGTTTACAGTACTGCTTTATTGGTAGCATACTGTGTCAGACATACAGGTTGTTAATCAGTCGGACAAGTGTTTACGGGCGATACACAGATGGATGAAAAATGGTCTGTTAGCATGCGTTGAGTCTCACAGCAGAGTGAGGTTAGTGTTCACGTCACATTTGTTCCCCTCTTGATCTGACTGAGAGGTATGTTTACTGTAACTACTGTTTCATCAGGGGGCGTCTGTGGCTCAGTCGGTAAAGTCAGTCGTCTCTCAGAGGTTGGGGGTTCGATCCCCAGGGCAAGACACTTAACCTCGAATTGCTCCTGCTGCTTTGTCGGCATGTGACTCCTGATGGTCAGTTTACATAGCAATCTCTGCCATCAGTGAATCAAAGTCAAAGTCAACTTTATTGTCAATTTAAAAATATGCCAGACATACAGTAGAATCGAAAGTGTGTTTGTCTCCGTCCCGTGGTGCAATACAACCAAAATAAGGTAAAATAAGATAAGGTAAAAGTAAGAAATAATATTTACAGTAATAAATTCTAAATTGTGCAAAAGGTACAAAATGGTAAATAAAATAAAATGTAAAGAAAAAGTAAACTTGTGCAATGTGCAGTAAAATGAGTGTACTTTTGAATAGTTAGCTTCAGAGTTATTAGTCCAGAGTTCTTGGTGGCAAACGGGAGGGGGTTTCAACGTCCAGTGTTCGAGGGGAGCAGAGGGGAGGGAAGGAAGAGAGGGGAGAGAGTTAAGCTTCCTGACAGCTTGGTGGAAGAAGCTGTTTCCCAGTCTGGTGGAGCCGGCCCGCAGGCTGCGGTACCGTCTCCCCGATGGCAGGAGGCTGAAGAGGCTGTGTGAGGGGGTGGGTGGGGTCACGCACAATGCTGGTTGCTTTGCGGGTGAGGCGGGTACCGTAGAGGACCAGAAGACAGGGGAGTGGGACACCGATAATCCGTTCAGCAGCCTTCACTGTGCGCTGCAGGGTCTTGCGGTTGGCAGCAGTGCAGCTCCCAAGCCACACAGCGATGCAGCTGGTCAGGATGCTCTCGATGGTGCCTCTGTAGAAGGACCACATGATGGATGGGGGGGGCTCGGGCATAACATGGTAACCTTTTATTGTAACAGTGTGTGTGTATGTAGATACAGTTAATGGGTAGTTGTGACCTGCCGTGTTAAAGCACTTAGAGTAGTCAGAAGACTAGAACAAGCTCAAGTTTACCATTAAAGGCAGAATATGCTATTTTTCACACTTAAATATAGCAGAAATCAAATATATCCTCTGAAAATAACTCTGTGACTGTCTACAATGGGTGTAACACCCGAGTCCCACTGTCTGTGATGCTTTCCGAGTTTTCCCGAGTCCTATCTTCAGTTTGTTTACATCGCCAGGCCGGCCGGCCGGCTCTTCCCCTCGCGCATAAAAGTTGATTTATTGAGGGACTACAGAAAAGAAGAATAACATACTGTACTCACTGCTTAATTGTGTTACTAGATCACGGTCATTTCGGGTAAATTTACATGCAGTGTGAAGATACGAGCATAATAAAGATCGCTAGCATTAGCATGCTAACACAACAATGCAGCGAGTTGTTTTGGATATAAAGCATATAAAGCCTTTAAACATCAGCAGTGCAACTTATTTTTATTCAACCTGTGCCACAAAATGATTGTACTTGATTTTCTTTGAATGCCCTGCTGGTCCCATCTATGCGTCATGCCCCCCTCATTGTTTGTCATACGTTTATTACATAGAACTTAACTCTTTTCAGGGTTTGTGCGAGGCTGACAAATGAATCTACTGCAGGCTGCAAGGAGTCAAAGTGTTCAAGAGTTTTTCAAACACATTCTCCGTTTAATCAACAGAAGATGCTTCATTTTTCACACCCACTGGAAAAATATGCTCGGGCCTAAGCTCCAACTAATCACAGACAGTTGCCCATGGGGGACTGTATCCGAATTCATACTTAAAAGAGATGACAGCTCTTTCGGGAAGATAAAATGTGAGCCATTATTCAACAGATACGGGGTTTTAATCCTTGTTACTGGTTCTCTTTATGTCTTTTTGATATTTCATCAACTGTAAAGTGTTCCTTTTAATTTCCCTATCTGGTCTGCAGGCTGTGGTATCATGGTTCTGTCCTCAGAGCTTCATCTTTATTTTAAAGTGTGCCGTCTGCTGTGAGAAGCAAAACATAACTGATTGCAAATATTTGAAGCAAGTCACTTTACAATCAATCCAGTGGGCATGATTTTCAAATATTCTGTATTCTGGAGATAGACAAAGAGCTTTCAGAGACTTAAGTATAGAGACGTGGCTAATGCTACTGACTGCATGTGTTCATAATGATGATTTATTTCTAAGTTAGTCACAGTTGTCAAAGTAAGAAAAATATTTGTACAAGCAGCGCAACATTTGATATTGTGAGGAGAATTATAAATAGGTTGTTTGTTGACCTATGAGGGAGACACTTTTCTCTGGGAAAACATTTCATGAATTCTGATGATTAATGTTTGTTTGCACAGAGGTGGACAATTATAAATACCAAATAACTGACTTGTAAACTTGGCATAGTGACTGGAACAGAACTTGCTGAGTGTTTCCCTCACCTCATTAACTCCCCACCAGAAACCATAAAATATTATTGAGACGTTAACATTTCTCACTCCAGTGATAAGTTCCAGATGAAGACAATGTCACGTCTGGATGTACAGCTTTGCTTCACATTGCTGTTTACTTGCATGTCGGTCAGCATTTGATTTTCTAACCAAGCAGTAATTGTTTGTTTCCACAGCAACTGGAGAACAGCTTGAATGAGTTTGGGGAGAAATGGGTTCTAAACCCGGGTGACGGAGCTTTTTATGGACCAAAGGTGAGCCATGCGCCGCAGTAATGATGTACTTAAAACAGTGAAACAGCAGCGGGGGGCCATGGCTGATTATTTGTGCCCACTGTTTGCAGATCGACATTCAGATAAAGGACGCCATTGGTCGGTACCATCAGTGTGCCACAATCCAGCTTGATTTCCAGCTTCCCATCCGCTTTAACCTCACCTTTGTCAGGTAACTCTTCTCTTGCTTGTTCTAATTCACGTCAGAGATCAGCTGATCAGCTTAATAGAATGAAACATATTGAAGTACAATAAACGTACCGAAGATGTACATTTTATGAAAATATTGAGGTGGGAGGTGTTTATGTGATGAAAGATTCTGTGATACAAGTGAATAAAGCGATACAATATGAATTGACGGTGATGTATCGTGGTTTTAAAGCTTCCCCCTAGGATTTAGAGTATATAAAGTTTTTACTTTTTTTTTTTTTATCAGGGCAGGAAAAATAAAATCAGTTATCTGTAGTTCCTGACTGATGAGGATGTACACATTTCTCCAGGTGCTTTTTGTCGACTCCCTTTATGATTTCTCTATTGCTGTGTAATGCTCATTGCTTCCCCACCCCTTTAAATGGATTTGTAGCCACGATGGTGACGACAAGAAGCGACCAGTGATCATCCACAGAGCCATCCTGGGATCAGTGGAGAGGATGCTCGCCATTCTGACTGAGAACTACGGAGGCAAATGGTTTGTAAAATGTATCTTAGAGGATTTAAACTGTCAAGTAGGAGTAGACACCAGAGATGGAACATATTTCCTGTTGATTATTTTTTGACTGGTTGAACTTAAATTGAATGAAAAAAAGATAATAAGTTCTGTGTGGTGCTGAGATACTCTGGTTTTACATCATGTACTCTGTTGTGTGTTTTCAGGCCGCTGTGGCTCTCTCCTCGCCAAGTGATGGTCGTACCTGTGGGAGTGGCCCATGAAGAGTACGCTCAGAAGGTAATCACTGAACTCTGTATTTCATATTTTCTCTTCAAGGCAGCACAAACGGTACCCTAAAGCTATCAGACACATTTAATTTCAACACTAAGCTGACTGTGTTTAACCTGTGGAGCCTGTTTATCACTGGTACACACAGACTGGATCCCTGAAATCTCTCAGCAATGTAATGCTGCTCTGTTAGGTATAATAAATGTTTTATTTTAACTACCATGACCAAAAACCTCTGGATTTTAGATAGTTTTATAAAAATACACCACCAATCTGCAGCGTAGAATTAAAGCGTTCTGTCTGCGTAGCATGGACTAAAAGAACACCACTGTGTATTACCACTTAACTTTAAAGCTCACACCATCACTTCTATGATTCCTGAGAAATGTGTGCAAACCAAACTAATTTCTTAAGAACTTTGCAAATTCCAGCTGGGCAGCAGACATAAAGGGTCAGACAATCCTACATGTTGTTATCAAGTGTTCTGTTCAGCACAGGTTAACTCTTCACACTACCAGAGTTAGAAAAACTAGTTTAAATGAAATAAGAAACAGGGTCAGTACATTGTAATGGACTTTTAGAATCAATCCAAAGAAAATAATTTCTATCATTCAGCGATGTCTTCTCTTTGCTTTAAAAAGCATTCGGCCGTCCAACTTGTTTACATTTGATTGGATTGTCTTACAGCAGGTGCTTGTTGCCTTTTTTTTTTTTTTTTTATCATTGTTGCACAAAAACATCTGTAAAATAAATATCCGTACAGTCTTAATATCATGAACTATAAAGAACAGTAGGTCTCATGATGTGCTGATAATGGTTGTAGAAATGTTGTCGTCATTCCAACTAAATGAAATCAAAGGCCAGTTTTGAAAACACATTTCAGTACATTGTAATTCTTTATGTGAAATGAATGAACTTTTATTCACACACGCATACCCTTAACTGTCTCTAACTGTTGATTCTCTGGCAGGTCAAGAAGGATTTCCATGACAGCGGCTTCATGGCTGACGTGGATCTCGACCCCGGCTGCACTCTGAACAAAAAGATTAGAAATGCACAGTTAGCGCAGTACAACTTCATCCTGGGTCAGTGGAAGCACACGTTCTTTCTCTCTTCTCTCTGTCTGTTATAATCTTTACCTTCTGTTCCATGTCACTCTTAATATTGATTTGTATTTATCTCTTTGCATGTTATCCTGCTTGTCAAAGTGGTGGGAGAGAAGGAGATGACCAGCAACACTGTGAACGTGCGCACCCGAGATAACAAAGTCCACGGCGAGCGCAGTGTGGAGGAGTGCATGGAGCGTCTGAAACACCTCAAGATGTCCAGGAGTAAAAATGCTGAAGAGGAATTCTGATCTTTCTCAAATCTGTGCTATCGCTCTACAGTACCTCAAGTGTTTGAACTTAAAAGGGACGTGTGGTAAACATCCGTTTTTGATTAGGGGTAAACTACTGGTGCCTAGTCTCTTCTTTCTGTCTCACTGAAATCACATTTTCAGAATTGTTAATCAAGGGTTTTTTTTTTGTCTGGTGTCTTCCATCGCCTCATAACGGTATCAATTTTATTATGCTTATCAAGTCTTCGGATTCCTGTCCTCGTAGACAGAAGTTAACATGTTCTTAACTTCTGCTTCTACAGAAACACATGTGGGACTGTAATGTGATAAAGTCTTTGAACAGCTTTACAGAACATGTCAAACATTGAACAAATTGTACCATATTAACCATCGAAAAAAACACCTATATGTTGACTGGTTAAAAAAAAGGGGGGGAAATGGTTTGTTACACTGTCTTAACAGTTTGTATCGGTCATTCTTTCTTCAGGGAATTGTACACAAGTTTGATAATTAAACCATTTATTCTTGATCTGTGTCACCGTTTTTTTTTTACAAGATTCAGTTCATAAGAACTGTGCTGTTGCAAAGCAAGTGTGTGCCCATCAGTGAGCATTAAAAAATTAAAGAGTCAACCCATCAGAAAAGTCAAGTTTTTTTTTTAATACATGGGTATAGAGTCTATTAACAGTGACCATTCATATTTAAATACTATTTCTTTCATATTGGAGCAAATTTCAAGAGTTGATTTCCTGCAGATTTATGGCATAAATGTGTTCTGCAGTCAGAGAGGATTTTTATCATCTTCCTCCACTCCTGCATCTTCGCCGAGGATGGAAATCAGTGATGTGCTGGAGGGGTAAACACCTAATGCCTATTATTACATGCTTATTGAACTGGACCCTATTTCCTCTACAGACTGCACCACCTCATCAGGGAGTAATGCAAATGTTCTTCCTGTTACTCTGTCATCTGCTCTCCATATGTTTGAAAGATTAAGCAGTATGTTATTCTATTTTATTGTTTTAAATAACAGTGAAATGCTTCTTAATACATTTACAATCTCACATTGCTCATCACATACTATTAATGCGTTAAATTTGATCACATCTCTGTATTTTCTCTATCTGTTCTTATTAGTTATTCTCCATACCTGGAATAATCCTTTGCCCACTTAAATGTAAAATACAGTTAACATTTTTGATGATGCCTGCACCAAAAATCTACTTAGAGTTTTGAATTCCTGTTCAAACCACTAGTGGGTGCTGTATATCTGTGTACTGTGGAAAATAGTGAGAGTTCAACATCAAGAGACAATACCTGCCACAGCTCAATGCCTTTGAGTGTATGTTGTCTAAAACTAACAAACCTCAAATAATTTAAATGGTAGTGTTGTGACTTTAACTTCGATCTTTTAAGTCACTGTTTGCTTAATAAAGATAAGTAGAAATATATACTGGCTGGATATTGGGAGATATTTGAACACCGTTTCTTTTTTTTTTTTACACAAGAATGATCTGTTATTGTCAAGCAAATTTATCTTATTACTTTAAGCAGGAATATATCTAAGGTTAAACTTGGAGTGAAATATTTTGACACAGCTGCAGAAGAGGCTTCAAGTGGCCCATGACTGCAAGCCAAGAAAAACATTGATCTTGGCTGCTTTACAGGTCGCCCATAATCAAAACAAGTGAGAAGCCCTTGGTTATTTTGGCCAATTTAAACTTTCGGCACCAAATAAATTATGTGTGCAGATTTGTCTGTATCTTTACCTTAATGGGGCACTGGTGTAATTTTCTCTGGCTGTAAATGACTTAAAAAAGTGAGAACTATTAAAAAAAAGTGAAGTCATTTTTGCAAACACTGACCTGGCCCTCATTTTTCTTATACAATTACTATCATATCAATTATAAATGTCTAAGATTGACCTCTCTTTGGAGATAGGAGAGGGAACATATAGGGACTCCATCATATCAGATCTGACCACAAGGTGGTACAGCTGAACCAGGATGTTGTGGAGGGGGAAACTGAGTGGTGCTAATGTCAGTGAAGTGTGGGAGAGAAAAACATTTTGATAAGGGGTTAATGAAAAAGTCAATGGAGTAAGAGAGTGTCAACAGACAGAGCGAGACAGCCAGACATCTCTGGGGAATCAACTCGGCTGTAGACTCTCGGCCTCAATGAGAATCCTCCTCGCTCCCTCTCGCCCCGCTGGATCCTTCCTGTATGCTTCAGTGACAACCTGACCATGAAGGGTCAACACGCTTCAGTGAACTGAGCAAACTCCTCTTTCTCTCACCACACATGCATTTAAGGGTATCGATTCACATGTTAGAAGGAAAAAAAAAAAGGACCCACTGCTGCAGCTCTTCAAGATGTTGGGAGAAGTCATGGTGTGAAAATCTTACGATTAGCTCTCTTTTTTAAGTCAGAAAGTTCAGTGGAGTCTTTAGTTTGGACAGGATTTCTCTCTTGTATAAGCCTTTCTCTCTCTAGGGAATTTTTTATCCTTCTGTTAAAAAAAGAGAGCTATGTTCTGAAAGCTACAAACGACTGAAAGAGAGACAAAGGGCAGGGGAAGGTGAATGGCATCCAATCTATGTATTGTTTTTATTGATCTACCACAAAGAAGTAGCTTGATTTTTTTTGAAACACTTTAATTTGTCTTCTTTCCAGGAGTTGGATTATTAGATAAATCCCACTTTTACTTCTTCATGGTACATAAAAAGCTGAGCTGTTAGCCGTTTTTATTTAGCATTCAAAAGGAACAAGGGAACAGCAGCTAACAGCTAGCTTGAGTTTGTGCAAAATTAATGAATCTTACGACCGCAACCTAAAAGACCACATGTTAAAAAAAGGTTTAATTTATACTCCCTGTGCCCCTGCTGCCCCCTCTTAGCAATTATTCCCTACCAAAAATAAGGTACATAGTTTTGAAAAGGAAAGATTTTTGTTTAAATAAAGGGGGCTTCTTTGTTCAGGTACTTGTTGAGTTTTTGTTTCCTTTGGATGATGCCAGGCTAGCTGTTCCTTCCTGTTTCCAGTCATTATGCTAACCGGCTCCTGCCTCCAACTTTAGGATCAACCAGAGTGGCTATCTTCTCATCAAACTCTCATTGTTAAAGCAAATTAAGAGTATTTCAACAAATGTCAAACTATTCCCTGATGGCACGACACGTAGCCTATGCTAAGGTTTTTCACCCAATCTGCTCATCTGTTTTTTCCCTGCATTAAAAGTTGTTGTCCTTTTACTTGTTTATTTTCCTTTATCGCTATGACAACTAAAAACAGTCCCTGTCGTTGTATATTCAGTGTGTGTAATGTAGCCTATGCAAAAGGTTCCCCCCCTTTCTCCTTTTTATTTCCAGCAATGACAGCCAAAAGCCAAAAAGCTTCCCAAGTGACACACTCATGTTCCTACCTCTCCACCCTTTCATCCTTCATTTATGTTGCTGTTGGAGCAAAGACATGCATATTTGGATGCTTACCAACCATTTTATTCTCCAGAATATGTCTCTGTCTGTGCAGCAACTAGTACCACACACACACAAACAAACACACACAACCTCCTCCTGCACCATTCCCCCTCTGCATAAATGCAACCGAACCCTAAATTATGGTCAGTCGCTTGTGAAGTTAGTTTTTCTTGGGTAAAACCAAGCTGCCATCTTTAATACCATAATGTACCTAATTATATGGTTCTAATTGGGAACTGTTTGATCACACTCTTTGGCATCTGGAAAGCTGGCGTGTGACTGTAACAGGCTTTTCTCATCTCACAAGTATGACCTTTCCCTCTGACCCCAGCATAAGTGAAGTAAACCACTTGACACCAAGTAAAGACCTTCACCAGTCACACCCTGCATGAAGCCAACACCAACGATCCACTGTGATTATCTGTGATGTAAGTCTGAAGCAATCTTTACATGAGACTGCTGCATGTCAGATGAGCAGAACAAGGCGGTAAGGAGTGAGGACTAAACCCAAATCTACAGAGAAGGCAGGATTTGTAACTGTGGGTCATATTTTCTTTCTTGTTGTGCAGCAACAGACAACACACATGGTGGGACAAATAAATAATCTTGTGAGCTTTTAAGCGCCCACAAAAAAACCCCACAAGATACCATGTGGACCATGCAATGTCCTTGTTACAATATTCTTCTGAGTGACTGCTACAACATCTAAGTTTTCTAACAGTTTAAATGTCACTGTTTTTGCTCAGTTGGTCAAATTTTTAATTTTAAATGTTGAGTGGCAGATCATGAACCCTCTAGTTTTCTCTTTGCCCTTTTGATCCATTACTTTTGCTAATTATTTATTTGATATGTTTGCTAACTATTTCAGTCATGTATCAGTTACTTTTAGCTAAGGTTTACTGATTGAATTAAACTAACTAACTAAACTGTTTATCCGTTAATTCTGTTTACTGTTCATGAATTAGCTTACTTTTAGCTAACTATTTAGATTTTACCTTTATATTTTAGAACATTTTTCGTCTCACTTAGTTTCTACACAATCTGTGTACAAGTCAGATGTCAATCACATTTGTTTTCTCAGTGAGTGGAAACTAGTTTACTAGCTCATGATAAATGAAGCTGTCTAACTCTTATCTGATAATCTCGATGGCAACGGAGGGCTTAAATTGTTATGACTGCCTCAGCTTAGAAGAGGGCACTGTGCTCAGCTCATCATGGTTAATGTTTCATGTGACAATAAATGAACTTATATTACATACGGTTTTTGTTGTTGTTACACTTGGATTTAAATTTCAATAGAAACAGTAGCACCCCTTACAAGATTGGGAATCACTCATCTAGACCAACTTTAAACTTTCCTCTCTGATCTATCAAACAGGTCATTTTCCACAAACTCACTGTGACACTGTAATATTTTAACAGGTGTTTAATAAAGTTTAACATTCCTGGGTCGCAACAGCCGGAAAAGCGATTAGCCCCTGACACTTTAAAACACGGTGCCTTTTCCACAAATCAGCATTCGAATCTTGAATCCAGCTCACTTAGCATCACAGTAGCTGCCAAACAGTTTTTTTTTTTTGTTGCTAATATACTCCTCATGGTAAAGAATTACAAACTATAAATCAGCCACAGTCCACCCTCTCTCAACGCTTGCGTTTGTTGAAATTGGCTCGCAGCTCTAGTCCTGCATGAATCTAGCAGCCTCATTACAACCATGTAAAAGCCCATTACATTGCACTGCCCATGGGGAATAACACCTTCTTCTTTATTAAGCAGCGAATAAAAGCTGTTACCCACTGTTTCCATTACTTTGTACTGTACAACATGATGCAAAATAACTCACTGCTCACTCAATCGACTCATTTTCAACAGATTTTTCCCTCTTACACCTTCTGTCTTCAAGCATAAAAGCCTAGCAATAAGATAAATGATGTATTCAGAGAAAATGTACTTCCATGAATACAGCATTTTTCCTCATAACACTTGCCCTCAGTAATTCTGTGCAGCCTTTTACTGATCCCCAAGCACTGGCTTTTGCAACTATGAATTCCTCCTT